CACGCTTGGCCTGGACAACAGGATGGTGAAATACTCTGGGCTCTTTGCAAGGCCTCCAAAGACCTGGTGGGCAGAGAGGGTGGGAGAATCATGGGCACAGCCCCACATCTAGGGGCAGAATGGCCAGTGGCCAGAGCCCTGGGCCTGGACCATGCCAGGGTCCCCAGCCTCCTGGACTGCGCCGTTAGGACCTGCGGTCTGGCCTCCTGCTCATGACAACTTGGCCTTGGGAAGCTGAGCCCCGCCCCAAGACACTGCTGGGCTCACAGGAACACACACCAGGGCACACATACCTGCCTGGACACAGCGGTTCCTGCCAGGAAAACCCTGACTTCCTATCTCCGGGCCTAGGAATGCTCAGGAAGACGTCCCTGGGTCTCAGCCCAAATCCTTCCCACTGCAACTTGGAGGCTGCTCAGCCTCCTCCTGGGGACCTCCCTCATGCACTGACCCCACCCACCTCAGGCTCTCCTGCCACTGTTTTCGCACACCTGCACTAAGGGTCTTCTCAGCTTTTTCTTGTAGACCACCGCCTGGCCAGGCCCATGGGAACATGGGTTCACAGGAAGGCAGGGGCCTGGTGTTATGGCTGGCACTTACTTCATCCTTCCCAGCCTGGGAGTCATAGTCAGTACCCTCACTTCACAGCTAGAAAAACTGAGGCACAGAGAGGTAAAGGAACTTGCCTACAGTCTCACAGCTGGAAAGTGGCAGAGCTAGGACTGAACCTTTCTCATCTCTGCAGCTTGGCTTGGAAACCCAGCCCTGAGACCCTCAGATTGCAGTCAAGTGACTCAGGCAGGACCAGGGGCCTCTGTAAGGGGTCTATGACTCAAACATGGGATAAGGGAGGCAGGGGTTCCCTGAGGAGAACCTGGGCAGACCAGACCAGACCAGATCAAGGCTTTCTATACCCCACCCCACCCAGCCTGAGACGCGCCCAGGCCACTGATGGCCACTGGGCTTACACACATGGTCAGGCTGACCTGTCAATCACCTGCCCCTCCATAATAAAAGAGGTACCTCTCTGATACCTCCCCTCCCCATGACGAAAAATCCCAGGCCAGCGATGCTGAGGCCACCCTCTGCTGGCCTGTTTCCCTTCTGACTGCTTGTGTCAGTGGCAGCGCTCACACACACCTTGCCCCACCCCCAGCCCTGGAGCCCGAGAACCCCAACCTCTGCTCCTCCTCACTCCTGCGCCAGCCACACCCACCTCGCCGGGTTCCCCACTCAGGTTGGTCCGGACACTCTTGCCTCCCCCACCACCAGCTTCCAGCCCCTGTACCCATGAAGCGGGCAGCCCTTGGCACCTGCTCCCACTCTCCCTGGGGCTCCAACAGGACCCAGACCTGGCTCTGCACTCCAGCCTTGGTGTAGGGAGTAGGGCCGACCTGCCTGGGCGCTGCCCACTGGCTGTCCACAGTGTAGGGAGGCGGGCGCAGGAGGAGCTAGAGAGACGAGTTCCCCAGCCGCTCCGTCCTACAGCCTTTCAGGACACTTGTCCCGTCCTCAACTTTGCTGTAGAGCTCGCACTCTTGAGCGAGCTCTTAGCCAACTGAGCCACTCGGCTGGCTCCTCATAAACTATTTCGTTTTATAAAGCAGAGAAGTTACAGTACATAACATGTTTCATTATGACATTACAACAGCTATGACATCACTGGGTGGTAGGGTTTTTCAGCTCCATTATAATCTTATGGGACCACCGGTATATACATGGTCCACTGTTGACTGAAACGTCAGTTATTCGGGGCATGACTGTATCAGACCCAGGAAAATCCTTTGAACTTGTCCAAACCTGGCTCTAGTCACCCCCAGGAGCTCTTCCATGGGCCCAAAGGCTCTGAGGCTTTCAGGAGGCAGGCCTGCCGGATGGCCACAGCCCTCGACACCGACAGCCCAGCTAGAGGAGCCTGGACAAGGGCCATTTCCTCTCCAGTCCCCCCATCAAGTCCAGCCGTAGACAAAGCTACATGCTTGACAGTTCTATACAGACAACACCTGGTCTAGAAGCCGTGAGGATGTGCCCGAACCGTGTGGGTCAGGACCCAGCCCCAGGACTTCACAGCTGGGAATTCCCATTAGGTTGGGGGGCAACCCCGTGCAGTCTAGGGTTCACTAAGTGTCTGCTTTAAATAGTACTAAGCGGTGGGGAATCTGCATCACCCACCACAGGGCAAATGAACCCATACGCCTTCCTGGAAAGCAGCAGGACCTTGAAGGTTTGGCCTGGAGGTCACCGTTGGCAGCTGTAATTAAAGGGTGTAATCTGACAGAGGCAGGGAGCAAGTAGTTAGCTTCCAGGTGAATCAGTACCTTACTCATAGCCTTGGAGTGAAAATGATTTATAATCTGAAACCTGAAAAGAAGGCAGGGTGCAACTGATTGTAGCAGATCAATACCCAATTGCTGAGGGGGTCCTAGGGAGTGGGAGAGTAATTTCAAAGAGCCTAGAACGTATCACAGAAGATGCAGAAATAAAGCCACCAAATGCCCTGACCCCACTAAACGGAAGGCACACATGTGCGTGAGGGAAACATGACTGCAGCCACCAATGCCAAAAGGGCAGCTGTGTTCCAGTGTTGGGATCCAAGTGTGCCTTTTCCCCCAAAGAACTAAAGTTTTTTTTTCTTGAAAGCTTATAAGAGTTTATTTGAGCCAAACTGACGACAACTGCTGGGAAACAAAATCGCAACGGATTGAGAAAATGCTCCAAAGAACTAAAATTTAAAATTTTGCACTAACTTTTCAGTGGAAGACTGTAAAAACTTTGAAGATGGCAGACCTCTAGGAAAAACACCACAGACTCACACCCTCCACCTCGCCCCGCGTCTCCCGCACAGGGGACAGGCAGGCGCCTTACCGCGTCCTGCAGGCAGACTTCCAGCCGTCCATCCTGCACCACATAGATGCTGGTGTCCGGCTCCCCTGGCCTGAACACGTGCTCCCCTTCGAGCAGCTGCACAAACACCATGTGTCTGCAAAGTTCCAGGAACAGTGGCTTCTCAAAGTGGCCCAGGACCCTGCAAGAACCAGAGTGCTAGGGAGATGCCCTCCAGGAAGGAGGGAAGGCAGACGGCCTTTGGAGGAGGCTGATGGGGTAGAAGCCAACGTTACCATTGGCCAGACGCACAGGAGGTTTTCCCAGGGCTGCAGCCTGGGATCACCATGGGGATAGGGGCTTAAACTTTGGAGAACTCCCATAAGCTGTTTTCCCGTCAGATCAGAGACTATGAGCTTGAACCAGATGCACAGCCAAGGCCAGGCCGAGGGGCACCCTCCCTGGACAATGAGACAGTGATAGGAGGAAAGGGGGTTTCCGGGGAGAGATGAAAGGGACCCAGGCTTGCGACTTTTGATCCAGCCACACACTTGGCATACTTGCTCTGTTTCCTCCTGACCATGAAAACAGACAGCCATGCAGCACTGGCGAGGAGGACTCGTCAACTGCCAGCACAGGTGGCAGGAAGGTGAGCACGGCCTCCTGGGTCCAGTTCCTTACCGCACGTTTTTTAGCATGTACAAAACTTCTGACGGCAGGTGAGAATTCTTCACATCAAACTCTGTAAGGTCAGCCTCAAGCAGAGAGGGTGGGGGCTCCTTTGGCTGCAGAGTGGGGTATTCCTTCTTGAAACGCAAGATCCTGCAAGCAAGGGGTTCACAGCAGTTGAAGTAAGCACTGCGAGCCTGGAGGTGGGATGGGGGTGGGTGCGGGGTTGCGGGGGACACAGCAGCAGTGACATCCAGGAGGCTCGCCAGTGCCCCCCAGGGAGGGCCGCTGGGACGTGCTGTGCTCTGAACGGCACTCAGTACCTCTTAGCCAGAGACAGCACCTTGGTCCTCTTCCTTACCCGCTGCCGGGGGGCTGCCGTGTTCCCCACAAGCGTATGGGGGAGTGTGGTCACCTGCACAATGAAAGGAGAGGCTGAGTGGTGACCCTGAGACCAGCTAGATCCAGTTCTCAGCCTTAGAGCTTGCCCTGTGGGCCACCTGCAGTGTTGACATCAGCCTGCCCAGAATGTGGTCAACCATCCTTGGTGCTGTTGACAATGACGCACCACACAGCCATGTCCCCAGTCAGCGCCCACCCACAGGGCTCCTGTGTCTCCTTTGCCTGGAAGGATGGTGCTGTCCCGCTTCCCTGGTCATGCTGGCTCGGCCGCCCCTCCCACAGCCCTTTAAAAAAGCCTGCCCTGTCTGGCCTTGCCCACCTCCCTTCCCAAGCAGGTCCCTGCACACCTGTCCCGGTCTGGAAAGCTCTTCGCCCCTTCCCCATAGTGAAGGCCAAGTCCACGGCCATGGACGGTGGTGTGAGTGGCTGGCTGCTACCCCGGATAGTGGCAGGCTCTCGGGCAGCCGTGGCCCCTTGCTGTCCCTCAGCTCCCCAAGGTACTCAGCCCAGGGCATCAGCTGCGGTGTGGGTGTGTGACCACAACACCCCTCCCTCCCAGGTGTCCTGGCACCAGTGGACCACATTCCCACCCTCCTCAGCCCAGGTGCAGTTTGCCACAGCAGTCCTCAGTGGGACCACGGGTGGATGTGTGGTCCTGCACTAGGCCCCACACCACCCCCACACTCCAGGGCCCAGCCCCCCCACAGAGCAGGCCACAGCGGTGTCCAGGCTGAGCCAGGCGCCACAGCCCGTTGGCAGCCCCAGCCTCTCTTCCCTTCGCCAGCATCTGACACTGATGGAACAGAAGACGCTGCAAGGACGCTCCCACCTCTGTCTCACAGTTCAAGTTTCCTACCAGAACACGAGGTGATGGTGCACCCTGCCTACAACCCGAGCGGTTACTCTGCCCTGCACTTCAAGGACGACAGGTCTCTGCAGTCCGCTGGACGCTCCCTCCCCTCAGGGTAGGATCGGGCTGGGGGTCACCAGGAAGGGCTCGACCAGACTGCTGGTCCCCTGATGGCGGCTTCCACCTCGTGGGGACCTGGCCCCAAATCCTGGCAGGACCACCAATCGCAGCCCTGGAACCGGGACCCTCTGTGCCCACTCACCCAGGGATATTTTTGGAAGGGGTCTGCTGACCTCTTTCCTAGTTAAGACAAACTTCCACTCACAGGGCTAACGGGGCCTCACTCTCGGCACTTGCTTTAATCCAGCTGAGCCCCACCCAGTCCTTCCCGAGCCCCTGGGCCATCCCTGCCCAGCTGGTTGCGACTCTGGGGGTGAGGGAACCAGGGCTGCGGGTGAAGGCAGCACACACCACGGGCTGCCGTGCCCCATCCTGCAGGGCCTGCAGCCAGGTTACCTTTCTCATGATCTTCCGGCCATAAAACATCACTTTGTCCCTCTTCCGGAACCTGTACTGAGGGGCGGGCTGCACGTGTCCTGCAAGGGAAGCGAAGGACAGTGTGAGGCCTGAGGTTCCACCAGGGCAGCTAGCGGTGCACGCACACCCCGTCCTGCCCCTGCTCCGTCACACAGCACGTAGAAAAGGCATGCTGCCAGTGTCCCAGACCTGTGACAGACGGGCCAGAGAAAATGGAATGGCACCTCTTCTCTGTGGATCTATGGGCTTGGCCTTGGCCTGGACAGGCCAGCAGTGTCCCACAAAAGCCACCATGAGCCTGTGGGCTGCTTGCCAGAGCTTGAAACACAGGGCAAGTCATCCGAACCTTCCCCGTCCCCCATACCCCAGAGCACAATCTGAAGCAATATACTCACGGAATTGGTTAACCCTTCTGTACACAAAAAAGACAGTGATGCCGACGAGGGCCAGGGCCAACAGGGCTCCAATCGCCATGCCCATCAGCTGGGTGAGATGGCAGACAGAGCACCCGTAAGCAAGGTGCCGCCCAGCCCCTCCCAACCCCAACCGCAGGCTGACATGAGAGGCCGGGCAGCCAGGGGGCCTGGGAGCCTGTGAGGTGATTACCATGGTAGACTGCGAATGCTGCTCCGTCAACTGCAGCCACCAGGATTGCAGGGCGGTGCCCATGCAGATGCCAGCCTGGAGGAGAACACGCGGTCAGCAAGGGCAGGACAGGCACGGCCCTGGCTTCCCAGGGAGGTGAGGTCCTTAGCCCAAGAGCTGAGGAGCCCAGCGAGAGACCTGTCTCCATGGCCATTGTCCTGTCTCCAGAGCCATTCGGGCAGGGCTGGCAGCTGGGCTGTGTTGACAACAAATGCTCTGGGAATCAGTAACACGTCTGAACCCTAAATCCTTGGCTTCCCAAGGCCTCACGATGCAAGCCCAGAGCAAAAGGCCCAGCTGCCCCAGGGATGCAGAGGCCATCTCTCAGCGCCCTGGGTCACTGACAGACCATGTGCTGCTGGCCCCAGAGCACACGGAAACCCAAGTGCCAACAGTGCTAAGAAACCCCAAGGAGCCATCTGGATTCTGAGAACATGCAGTGCCAGCTCCCAGCAGAGAAGGGCTATGAGCCTGCTTCCCCCCCTCCCCCCAGGAAAGTTACTGGGGCTTCAGCAGTCCAGCACCGAGGAACAGAGGGGAGAGAGAAGTGGGCTCGGATGGTGAGTGGGCAGAGGCTGGGGCCACCCATGTGGAGGACGCCAGCAGATTCCCCGAGAGGATAGAGATGAAATGAGAGAGCAGCCAACAGCCACGCACCTCCCCCCAGGCAGCCAGGAACAGGATGGGGCAGGGCCACTTGTCAACCCTTCAAGTTTCTGTACAGGTGCCAAGGACTCCAGCAGCATGCCTGATCCTTCAGAGAGCCAGAATCAGACACGGTATGGTGCCAGAAAACCAAGGAAATGGAAGGGCCCACAGAACAGTGCTTCACAAGCAGACTGGCATCAGCACAGTCTCTAGTGGTCCAGAGAACTGAACCTGTGCACTCAGAAGCCAGCAGAAGCAGCGGGTCCTTCCGCTCCAGAGCCGAGGCTCCCAGCCCCTCTGGACCCAGACTGCGCTCAGCACCCATGGCCAAACCCTGCACTGAAGAGCCCCTCAGAGCTCAGCCACCACTCCACGACAGCCAGGACTGTCCAAGGACAGGACCCACAGGGTCCCCTAGCCTATGTACACAATCTCCACTGCTGGCACCTCAGACTTTTCTAGCTCTTCAGTCTTAACGCGTCAAATTTTCTGGTTTAGGAAGAAAGGCCTTTGTGATGTGGCTACAGATGTCTCACAGAGGAAAAGACCCTCAGTCAAAACAAGCAGAAATCCTAAGGGGAAGCAGAGAGTGACAACTGTGACCTCAGGGGAAGAAGGGGCAGGGCCTCTGCTCTGAGGGCACACAGGCCAGAGCTGCCACTCCCGCACTCAGCGGCCGGCAGGGCAGTCCCTCATTGGACCCTTCCTCCCAGTCCAGAAGCACCCCTAACTGGACCTCGTCACCAGAACCCTCCCATTCCATACCTCTGGGCCGGCGTCCTCCTCCTGTTCCATGGCTAAAAAGGAAACAGTCAAGGTGAGAAGACAGACTGGTTCCAAGGAGAGCTGGTCTCCCAGCAGCTCGCACTCACATGGGAGCGCCACACTTTCAGCCTTTCCCCGGGCTCCTTTCCATGTTAAATTACGTTTTCATTGAGAGAAATACCCAGAAGAAACTGTTGTCCAAGAGAAGCTGCTTTTTCAGAAGCACGAGAGCCACGTCCCTCTCTGCAAACAGCCCTCACGTGGCCGCCCAGGAACCTAGTCCCTGCTCCTCGCAGCCAGTCAAAGGGAGTGTGAGCAGCTAGGCAAAGGCCCAGTGTGGACGGGGTGTCCCAGAGCTGGGGGGCGGGGGCACAGGCCTGGGCGGGGCAGCGGCAGGGTGACACGGCCCCTCCCTGGTGGCCCGTGCCTGGGGATCTCCCATCCAGTGTGGCTGAGCCCTCAAGGTGTTCAGGGATGATGCACTTGGGACCAGCCCTGCTCACCTGGCCTCTGTCCAGTGGGGAAAAGCCAGGTCTGGGGCTTCACCCTGTGGTTCCCAGGCGCCTCAGGAAAGCGGCAGCAAGGGAGGTTTCTCTCTTCCAAAATCCCACCTGAAGCAGCCAGGGAGCAGAGGAAAGCGTGGGGTCAAAAGTCCTGTGCACTCCCCAGCCCAGGTGGGAAACCCTTACTTCTCAGGTGAGTGTCCTTAAGGGCCAGCAGGCGGCCAAGCACAGCCCTGCTGCGGCCTGCTGCTGCCCTGCCCGGCCCAGGCCGGTTTCCACACACCCCAGGCTCACCACCCCCAGCACCTGCTGGCCTTCTCCACCTGGGGCAGCCCTGTGGCCAGAGGGAAGGTGACCCAGCACATAACTGGGGCCTGCGCCATAGGCTTGGGGGCCTGCAGGGCCCTGGGTGTCATGTTAGGGGAGCAGTAGGTTAAGTGGCAACAGGGTTAGGGGGCTATCATGGTTGGGGGGCTGTCAGGGTTACGGGATTCGGAGTTACAGGAATGGCAGGTTAAGAGGTGTCTCGGCTAGGTAACGGATATAACGGGGGTTTAGGGCCATCGGGTTGTGGGGGCGGCAGGATTAGGGAAGCGTCGACGTTATGGGGGGGCGTCAGGGATAAGGGGACTTCAGTGTTACAGGTTAGACAGTTGGGGGACATCAGTGTTACAGGGGCGTCAGGTTGGGGGACGTCGGTGTTATAGGGATGTGGGGTTCAGGGGCGTCGGGTCCGGGGCGTTCGTGTTTCAGGGGCGTCGGGGTTGGGGGCAGCTGTTGATATCCGGGGAACTGAGAGGACGC